AGGTGTGTCAGCACCGACTGAGGGTGGGGGCGTCAAGAGCGTGGAATGCCAGCTCCGGGGTGCCCAAGGTCCCGGTACCTCCTCTCTCTGCTGAGCGTCCCGACGCCTGCTGTCCGGCTGCTCCCTGAGAAGTTGGAAAACAAGCCGGGGAAGGGGGGTAGGGAATGCGGGGGGCCGCTATAAATAGAGAGCGATCACAAGAGGGGGGAAGAGGATGGCCCAACGGAGACTCCCGGGTCAAGGCCCCGAGGGGGGGCGGAGGAGGGGCCAGGGACCCCCAGGAGCTCTGACTCTTGGGTAAACAGGCGCGGGGGCGGAGTCAACTCTGCGGGGGTGGAGTGGGGGCTTGGGGAGGACACCGTGTCCCGGGCCGGGACCCAAGAGACCCTGTGGCTTCGGCACTAACCCCTCCTGGTCCAGCCCAGAGAAGAAGGGTGAGACCAGCTGGGCCCGACTGAATACGCAGTGCCTAGGCGACGGTTTCTCAGGGACTGCAGCGTCCCTCTCAGGGCTTGGGTAGGTTTGCTGTCCTAGACTCCTCTCTTGCCCAGCTCTCCCCACAGCTAGATGCACCCTCCCTGTGCCCATAAAAGGAAGACCGCCTAGAATGGGGTATTTATGTGGCTAAGAGAATTCGGAGTTGTCAAAAGGAAACTTGATTGAATTTCTTCCCACCTGCACCCCTTTTAGCTCCCCTCCTCCCAGAGAGCCCACCCCATCCTCTCCTTTAGCCCGGCTCCTGAGTTGCCATTTCGGGGGCTGGGCGCTAGGCCAGTTGGGAACAATAGCCAATGGAACTGAAGCTGCCAACTGCAACACCAGCACAGACTGCCCCGCCCCCAAGACCCCCAAATTGCCCTACCCCCTCCTGCCTGGGAACCACCCCCACAACCCCCCTCCCACCCACAACCCCCCTCCCATCCAGGGACCATCAATGCCCCTTTCATCCCCACTTGGCAGGGTCTGTTGGAAAAAAGGAGGGGCCAGGGGGGAGGAGGTGACCCAGAGTAGAACTGGTCAGAATAAAACCCAGCTTTCAACTACCCAAAATCTAAGGAACCCCGTACATTCCCTAGTTGAAGCCCCAGGTTTTCCTTTATGCCCTTCCCCCACTCACTTCAGAACTATTTTCCCACAAACTGGCACAGAAGCTGGGCACCCTGGCTCCTCGCCTAGTCCCCTCTCCCCTCTGGATGCCAGTTTAACACTCCCTTGGACAAGGAAACCTGCTGGAATTAGGGTCCTACATAAAGATGCCTAGGACAGGAGATAAATCTTACCAGCCCTCCTGGAAGTAGGAGGAAGAAAGTCTAGAATGAGAACTTTTGCTTGCTGGCTTCTCTCCTGTGTCTAAAGTAGTCTTACTTGGATTGGGGGAGGGAAGGACCTGGAGGTTCCAGCATCTAAATTCAGCCCTGGGTCAGGATGACTCAGGGGGAACCTGATAAGGGGCCTACCCAGGGGCGTGGGGCTGGCCTGAGGTGGGAAATTTCCACTGGGATCTGTTTACTTCCTAGGCCTAGGGGTCTCAACCTGCTGCATACAGAAATGAGGCTGCTTCTGCCCTGCGAGAGGGTTTCTCTCTGTCAGGGCAGTTCCCAGCCCAGCCCTGGGGTAAGTGGCCCAACAAGGATAACAGCTCTCTCTAATTTCCTTCTCTTGGGCCAGAAGCAGCTTCAAACTCTACCTTCAACTAAGTGACAGTTTTAAGTACCTACTATGTGCAAGCCACTAGATGGATGGAATGCAAAGAAGTGTGAAGTGTAGTCATACCCTCTCTAGAAACTTATAATGGAATAGTTCAGAGATAAAGATAGAAAAAGTTTGCCCGGCCGGCATGGCTCAGTGGTTGAGCATCAAACTATGAACCAGGAGGTCACACTTCGGTGTGCCTGGCTTGTGGGTTCAACCTTCAGTGGGGGGCATGCAGGAGGCAGCCAACCAGTGATTCTCTCTCATCATTGATGTTTCTATCTCTCTCCTTACCCTCTCGCCTCCCTCTCTGAAATCAACAAAATATTTTTTAAATAGAAAAAGTTTAAAATATATATAAAATTAATTATTTAAACAGTAAGTCCTATGGCAGTAGTTTCTCACCCTTCTCAAGTGGGAGGTCAGAGATTTCCATTCCCACATGACAGTTAGTATCCCCTGATGGAAAGAAACCATGAATTCAGCAATACTTTCAGGTAAGTTTGTACAGTATTCTAATAATCACATCTTTTTATATAGTAACTAGAGGCCCAGTGCATGAATTCAGGGCAGACCAATCGGGGTGGGCCGACTGGGGGGGGGCCATGGGTGGTTGGTGGGCTAGCCCCACCCCCTGGTTGAACTCCCAGTTGATCTCCTGGTCGAGGGGACAATTTGCATATTAGCCTTTTATTATATAGGACTAGAGGCCCGGTGCACAAATTCATGCACAGGTGGAGTCTGGCTGGCCCACCCTGATCGGGCCATCAGGCCAGGCCAGCCAGAGGGAGGGGCTGTGGGAGGTTGGCCGGCCCCACACCCCGATGGGGAAGGGGGGGAGGAATGGGGGCAGGGGGGCTGGCCAGGGGTAGGGGCCTGGAGAAGACCCACTGAGCTGGAGCTGAGAATGGGCCCCAGGCTTCCCAGGGAGGATGGCCTCAGCACGGAAACAGAAACCACCAGAAGGCTCTGCAAACAGACCCTGAGCTCCCTTTAGCCAAGCGGACTCAGAGCTGGTGTCTCTGTGTGTCATCAGACACAGCCCGGCACTTGCCTTTGTCTCTTGGTCAAATCCATTGCATCAAAAACTTGTTCCCCTTCTTCTCTTTGGGCCCTTACAATAAATACAGGCCAATTGGAAGCCGCAGGCCCCACTGGAATTTAGGCCTAAGACAACTGGGTAGCAATCACCATGGAACAGAACACACTCTTTTAGAGTCTTAATTCTCCCCTAAAATGTGCCCAGCTGCTCCTCTTTAGACAGGATAGACTGAACTAAGGAACCAAAGAGTTTCCTTTGAGGTGGGATCCACCAGGAGCCAGCTGGTGGCAAGGCCCCTCACAGGTGGCTGCCTTCTCCCCAAGTTCGGTGTGCTCTGAGCCATTCCATTTTGGCGGTGCCAGGTGCTGGGCTGCTGGGTGGGTGGCAGGTCCACAGGTTTTCTCTTCACTGCCTTCCTGGCCTCCTGAGCAGTACCCTCCAGCCTGGCATGCCAGGCAGCTGTCACTAGAGTTAGGACTCCGAAAGCAAAGGAGCTGGCCCTGGCAGAGAGGGACCCACAGGTGTCCAGGCCATGTCCCCCACCCTATGGAGGGTTCTCTCTTTTCCGTGTCCAGCGCGTCTAGAGAACAGTCCAGTTCTTGAGTAGGGGCAGCTGGGGATTGAGAAAATGAAAGAAAGAGGCAGACACAGAAATGGAAGGAAAAAGCTGGGGCCGGGTGGGACCGCTGCCCTCTTCTGATGGAGAGACAGGGACCCAGCACCGATACAGCGTGTTTATTTTATACCCCAAATACCAGGAAGTTTCACCTAAGGTGTAGACAAAGGAGATTATGTGCATTCTTGGGTGGGCCCAAGTCGTACTCATTCCTGGTGCTTGGCTGGATTTGCATAACAAAACCCACTCCCCAGCACCTAGGCAGAAATGAAGGTCAAGCTGAGAACACTTCTGCTTTTTTGGCAAGATGTGTTTCCAGGACGTGGCTTTGCCTACCACCCTGGATTCAGCTGACAATTTATTTTATTTTATTTTTTTTAAAATATATTTTATTGATTTTTTACAGAGAGGAAGGGAGAGAGATAGAGAGTCAGAAACATCGATGAGAGAGAAACATCGATCAGCTGTCTCCTGCACATCTCCCACTGGGGATGTGCCCGCAACCCAGGTACATGCCCTTGACCGGAGTCAAACCCAGGACCTTTCAGTCTGCAGGCCGACGCTCTATCCACTGAGCCAAACCGGTTTCGGCAGACAATTTATTAAAGAAATGCCCATGTGCCTTCCCAGAGGCTCTCTCTACACCACCCCACTTCTCAGACTTGCTCACGTGGATCAGGCCAAAGCCCGCTGCCTGAGACTGGCGCCATGTGGGGAGGGTCACAGCAGGGAGAAGGGCATCCTGAACTGCCAGCCTTGGTGACAGTCATCTCAATGCCCAGCTGATTGAATTCATCCCACCAAGCCGTCATCTCAAGCTGCTCGCTCACGCTGGCCACCTTCACATTCTTCTTTACTGGTGCTTTGGCAGCACCCGCACAACTAGCCCCGAGGCCCTTGGGCTTGGCAGCGGCACTGGTGGCAGCCCCTGTGGCCGGTGCGCCACAGTGACCAGTTGTTCTGCTCATTGCACCATTAGGGTCACTGGGCTTTTATTATATAGACTAGACGCAGAGGTCCTCAAACTTTTTAAACAGGGGGCCAGTTCACTGTCCCTCAGACATTCCACACATGCGCACTGCGGGCCCGGGACCAGTCGGCTGCTAAGCAGGACAGGCAGCGGCGGCAAAAACACCCGGCGGGCCTGATAAATGTTTTCAGCGGGCCGCATGTGGCCCGCGGGCCGCAGTTTGAGGACCCCTGGTAGAGGCTCAATGCACAAAAATTCGTGCAAGAATAGGCCTTCCTTCCCCCAGCTGCCAGCACCAGCTTTCCTCCAGCACCTGGGACCCAGGCTTCCCTCCTCCAGCCACCAGCAGGCACCCAGGACCTGGGCTGCTTCCCTCCTCCAGTCACCCGCAGGCCCCAGGCTGACTTCTGTCAGGCCGCTCACAGGCACCCAGGACCCGGGCTGGCTTCCCTCTGGCCCAGGCTTTGTTGGGAAAGATGTCTGGAATGGCGTCCGGAAGGATGTCCAGTCTAATTAGCATGTTACCCTTTTATTATTATAGACTAGAGGCCTGGTACATGAAATTCATGTACTGGAGTGGGGGGTCCATCAGCCCGGCCTGTGCCCTCTTGCAGTCCGGGAGCCCCGTGACTAATCGCCTCAAAGAGGTAGGCCCCGCCCACCACCACAGTGCCATAGGTTGGTGGCCTGGGCCTCCCTCTGCGGGGCGATCATGGGGCAACAGCAGGGCCCCCTACCCATTGCATCGCACCCGCCTTGGTTGGCCTGGTGCCAGTGCATGTCATAGTGTGGTCATCTGGATGGTCGTTCGCTATTCGGCCATTCGGTCAATTTGCATATTATGCTTTTATTATTATAGATACCTACATGTGCAAAGCATATTATTTATTCAATTGACAATAAGTCTTCTGTGTACATATAGTTTCCAGGAGCCCTTGCAATAATTCAGAAATTCTCACCCCAGAAGGCTGCAGCCCACCAGGCTAGGAAACATTGTTTTAGTATAATACAGAAGAGGAAAAGGGTTTGCTTCCTAGGGTGAAGCACCATATAAGGAATGCAATCATGGAGTATTTGGGTAGGAAAGAGGGGCATTTTATCCAGGAAGAGAAAGCATGAGGGAAATTTTGAAGCTAGGGTAATCAACTAGATATGAGATGACAAGAACTTCAAGAAGTAGGGGAGTAATAGGAATGGAAAGAAAGGAATAGCTATGTAAGACAAGGAAAAAAAACACATCGGAATTAGTGACTGATTAGACAGGAAGGGGAAAGAAGTCACAAACCTAGTTGCTCTACTTTAGAATCCCTGCTGTTCATCCATTATGTGGCTTCTGGCTAGACTAGAGAAAAGGCCAGAGAGGAACCCCTGAGGAACATCCTGGACCTGCATAGAAACTTACCTGAAATATTTTCAGAGTCTGAGATTCACCCTCACTCTGACCTATTTCACCCTGCCTCCCCCAAATCTCTTAACACTCTAATAATTTCCATGGTAAGCCCAACAAGAACACCATTTAAAGTTCCTATTGAGCTTGGTCTGCTAAAGCCAATGAGATTCTCCATGTTGGCCTGGGCCTGGAGACTAGAAAAAAAGTAATATTGGACCGAAGCCACCTGTTTTTATTAACTCCTTCCCTGGGCTCTCTTCAGCCTTTGATGAGGGGCAGAGCATAAGGCGATTTGACCAGGACCAAAGGGTTGGGTTAAGCTCGACTGGAATAATGAGGGCAGTTTGATCCTCTAGAGAGATCAGAAGTTTGACAACTTGTTCAATGCATCGTGCAAGGTAAGGAAACCAAAAGACCCCTCCCCCAAAGACTAGGACTAGAGGTCATAAAAACCACTGAGGTCATAGAAGCCTCCCTCTCTTACCCTGTCTCCCCACTGCTATATAGTCCCCCATCCCCAGCTGCCTCCCACATATGCACACACTTACATAAAAAGGTTAGGAAGGGTCAGACACCATCTGGGAACCCTTAGGTGCCAAAAGGGGTGACGTGGGTGGTGGCAATGATTGCTCAGAATATAGGGTGCATACTAGTATCCCTAGTGCTAGGAATAGTAGGTGGGAAGAGGGGAGAAAGGAACAAGGAGGAGGGGGTTTGTTCTTGTTGCTGATTCAGATTTAACCCCCATCCTTCTTACTTCCCAGTCCTCCCTTCCCTCCTCCTTCACCCCCTCCCCAGTCTCTCCCCCTACTGTCCTCTCCCACCTCCAACTGATCATGGCATCAGAAGCAGAAAAAACATTCAAACGGTTTGCTGTCTTCGGAGAATCATCAAGCAGTGGCGTTGAAATTAACAACAAAAACTTCTCCAAGCTGTGCAAAGACTGTGGCATCATGGATGGCAAGATGGTCACTTCCACTGATGTGGACATCGTGTTCAGCAAAGTCAAGTAAGTGACCAAAGGTGGGAGTAGAGGTCATGAGCAGAACAAACAAGACAGTGAGACATGGAAGGGTTTATGTGATAGAACATTTGTAATGGGTCTACTGAGCACCTACTGGTTACTTGGCACTATTTATTCTCTGTCCTCAAGACATTCAGTGACCAAGGCTGAGTAAAGGGAGGGTTGGACCTTGGCAGGTGATGAGTTCATGTTCCAGAGTTCCTGGATTTTTTTCTTACTGACCAGGGACAAGAATGCACGAACCATCACATTTCCACAGTTCCAGGAAGCAATGAAGGAACTGGGCCAGAAGCGGTTTAAGGGGAAGAACCCAGATGAAACCCTAGAGAGCATTTATAAACTCATGGAGGGCAAGGATCCAGCTACCCCTGGTGTTACTGTGAGTGATATTCTTCATCCCTAATACTTGACCCTACTTCCCTGCTACTCTGTCTCCTCTCCCACCCTCTGATGACCCTAATGCCTGCCAACAGAGGTACTGTAGGGAGGCAGGGCAGAAAGCCTCTGGGGGCACTGTTGGTACTGGAATGGTCTTCAGAGATCATCCAGTCATTTTATTTTATTTTATTTATTTTAATTTTTTTTCCAGTCATTTTAGAGGTGAGGAAACTGTGGCCCAGAGAAGGGAAGTGACTTGCCCAAGGTCCACAGTTATTTTATTTTTTTTGTTCATCCTCACTTGAGGATATTTTTCCATTGATTTTTAGACAGCGTGAAAGGGAGGGGGAGAGACAGAGAGAGGGAGACTCATCGACTGGTTGCCTCCCACACGCACACCAGGGATTGAGCCTGCAACTGAGGTATGTACCCTTGACTGGAATTGAACCTAAGACTCTTCAGTCCTCCAACCAATGCTCTATCCACTGAGCCCAACCAGCTAAGGCCCACAGCTATTTTAATAGCAAAATTTAGACTCATTCTCAAGTGTCCAGTATGTGAGCCAGGCAACTAGGGCCTGGTGGATACTGCAGAGGACTTGGTATCTGATCCCCACTCTTCTTCCTGCTCTTGTATAAGGTTTCTGGCTTTCTGCCTCTCACCACCCTCTATTGTGTATTTGTCCCCTCTCTCCTGAAAGCTCTTTCTACTCTAGATTTCAAATAGGACCTATTCAGTAGGAAGAACCTTGCATATTGGATCTGGGGTTGAAGTCTCCTGGCTATAGCCTCATCAAAACAACTCCACTGGCCTGCCAGGTGGCTCAGTCAGTTGGAGTGTTGTCCCATACACCAAATGGTTGCATGTTCGATTGCGGGTCAGGGCACATACTAGGTTGCAGGTTCGATCCCCCATTGGGGTGTATATGGGAGGCAACCGATTGATGTTTCTCTCACACATCAATGTTTCTCTCTCTCTCCCTTCTCTCTCTCTAAACAAACAAAAAAATATCCTTGGGTGAGAATTAAAAATAATAATAATTAAAAAAAAATAACTCCTCACTTGGCTGGTGTGGCTCAGCAGTTGAACATTGACCCATGAACCAAGAGGTTGATGGTTTGATTCCCAGTCAGGGCACATGCCCGGATTGTAGGCCCAATCCCCAGTAGGGGGCATGCAGGAGGCAGACAATCGATGTTTCTCTCTATCTCTTGACCTTTCTCTCACTCTAAAAAAATCAATTTAATATATTTTTTAAAATAATAATAACTCCTTTGGAAGCAGAAAAAATCCACACACAGTCCACTCACTCCCATGCACCAATGGATGGCTCTTGCCATCGTTTATGCCCACAGCCACATCTGGGCCCTGAAAAAGCAGCACCATGCCATTGGTAGAACAAGAACTCTGAGCCCTAGGGGAGTCAAAGACCATCTTAAGAGAAGGGGTCTAACTGTGGAGGGAAAGGAGAGGGATCAGACTTACCATCCTCTGGCTTACAGAAAGCAACAACCGTGGGCGGAGTGAGCCGGCTGACAGACACCAGCAAGTACACTGGCAGCCACAAGGAGCGCTTTGACGAGAGTGGCAAGGGCAAAGGCATAGCAGGACGGGAAGAGAGGAGTGAAAACTCAGGCTATGTGAGTGCCTACAAGGGTGCTGGCACCTATGATAAGAAGAAGGAGAGTAAGTAGGGAGTAACCTCATCTTAGCCTGCCAGCCCTTGACCCAGCATCTTTAATACTGGGGAGCTCAGGAAACAATAAATATGTGTGTGTGCAGCAGCTAATGAACTCTGTCTTCAGCCAGGAAAGGGGGAAGGGAAGGGTGGACTCATGGGGGATGCAGGGGGGGTTGGGGGGGAGAGAGTGAGAGAGAGAGACAGACAGACAGACAGACAGACACGCGAGGAGAGAAAGCCCAAGGAGTCAGGGTTTCCAAAACTCCATCTTTTTCCCTACTTAGCCTGATGCCCTGAGCCAGAGTTAGCATTCTCCTCAACAACTGCTTCTAAGGTCAGGTCTGAGGAGTATAGTCGGAGATACGAGATGAACCAGCTGTGGAGATAAAGTATTCGCTACTTGCATTCACACACCACTGACATTCAACCTCCTCTACCTGCCAAAGGGGAATAGAACTTCCTGATTTGATGTAGAATGACCCAGATATCACCAACCAGACCTCTGTCCTTCCACCTTCCTGATCTGCTGCAATCCACATTTCATTGTGGGGAGAAACAGAAGCCAGCTAGGGTGGGCCAAGGATCTACTTAGTCTGACTGCGATTATGAGTTTGTTCCAGTGCTAGGGGAAGGGAGAATCCATTTTCATTACTCAGCTGGAAGTGAGTTTTACCCCTCCACACCTCCATCATGGTTCTCCTGGAACAGAAGATCCTACTGACAGCTAAAGGTAGCCCAGGAAGATGGCCAGAGTGGTCGTTTTAATGCACTAAGAAAAAAGGAATGAAATCAGAACTGAGTCAGATGTGTTTTTTATCTTTTTTATTTTAAAATGATTATGGATTCACAGGAAGATGCACTAATAGTGCAGAGAGGTCCCATGTACACTTTACCCCGTTTCATCCAATGGTTCTAGCTTACACAACTCAGATGTAGCTTTAAAATCTTCTGTGACTACATCTAGGCCCACCTCACCTATTTTGTCAGCAGCAGATCTTAGAGTCTAGAGAACATCAGGAGGAGCTTTGGGAACAGGATGCAAGAATCTTGCGGGGAGGGGGGATAGGCCAGAAAAAAATAACTTTAAACTTCAGTGAGCCAAGGTGAGAATTGTGGAAAAGAAGTTGGAGAAGACAGGGTGACTAAAGGAGGCTGGGAGTGTAGGGGAGAGACACTGGGTTCCTTGGTAGAAGGAGAGAGGAAAGAACAGGTTACATGAAGAAAATGATTTCATGGAGAGGAGCAGACAGGGAACTGCGACGGGATTCTAGGGATATGAGGCTAAAATTAACCTAAAGGTCTCAGGGAGGTCCCTAAAGCTAGTATATCCATTATGTGGGTGAGTGGAGAGAGTCATAGGGAAATGGGGAAGACTGAAAAGTGAAGGGTGGTGGGGATAGGGAGTCGAAACATCGAGCTGGTGCCTGTTGCCATGGTGTGAGCTGAGGCTCTGGGCCTCCATCCAGGATTCAGTATCTGGCCCAGTGGATGGACAGGCACTGCCAACTGGACACACTCGGCTTCTTGGGTGGGTAAAACTGTCTGTGGGAGGGGGCAGATGATGTGGAAGAGGAGAAGTAAACAAGCTGGAAAAAGCCTAAAAGACGGTGTGATTTTGCATGGTGACTAAAGCTCTGAACATTTTTTTCTACCTCCCTGGTCTCTTTGGAGGGAACCCGGCCTACCTTCAAAGTCAGGGGGAAGCACTGTATCAGGAATCAGAGTTTTGAAAAGGGGGACAGGCTGGTCGTGGTGGCAGTAGAGGGTGGTTCACAGTGGAAGCCTCCCTTCCCTAGTAGAGGCCAATGATACCTATTGGTTTACCATCATACTTTTGGGAACAGAGCAGGTAGAGCCTTTGGTTGTTTAGGGTGCTATTGTAGCGGCAGCTGGTGGGTGGCTGTTTGGTCTCCAGAGAGCAGATTGTGAGGGGATAGGAGTCCTCAGAGAGTGTACAGTATTCATTGTAATTCTCACAGAAGCTCTCACAGTACTTGCAGGACTTCTGAATGTCCGTCCAGGGAGCATGTATCACATAATGCCTCTTTGGGCAATACCAGCTTTGTTGTCTGCCCCTCACATAGGCCATCAGACCATTACAGTAGCCCTGGAAACCCTCTGGGTAGTTAACCTTGGGATAGTCAATGTGCATGGTTCGAAAGTTCTGGATGGCAACCTCTATGCTGATGTCCATGACCAGAGTTGGTCCTTGAACAAGCTGGAGGAACAGGAGCCAGGCCGCAGCTGGTGCCATTCTTCCTGCTGGTAGAGTTAAGGTGGTTGGAATCAGAGGTGGGCCTGGAGTGGCTGTCTGCCCCTTCCTGGAGCCTCCAGCATGTACCCAGCCATCCCTGTGTGCCTTCCCCTAAATTTAAGAGCTGGAGTGTACCTCAGGGATCATCCAGCCCTAGACCTCATGCCAATGAGAGAGGAGACACCCCAGATCACCCAGCTGGTCAACCCCCTTCAGCCATTCCCCCCTTCCCTTGGTCTCAGCCTCATCCAGTCATGAGCTGTAACACTTACAGAATAAGAGATCCACCTGGTCCTTGGGTGAGCAATTCTTCTTGATTATCCCTGGCCCCAGTGAACCCTTCTGGGGGAAAAAAAAAAAAAAAAAAAGCAGAAGCAAATAGAAGGAACAGGCTAGCTACGATTCTCTGATTGCTGTGGAGGACAGACAGGATCTGGAAGATGAGCGGGGCAACAGGCAGGGTTTCTTCATGCCTGAGGCCAAGGACAGCCCAAAGGTGAGAAGAGGCTGGGATGGTTTCTAGATAAAGGCCCCGACTGGGAGGAGGGAATGTCCCCTGACTTGAGGAGCCCCTGTGCTATGGGGGTTGGATGGATGGGAAGAAAGAGACATTACAATCTGGCTTCCTCCTTGCTGGTGTCATAAGAACACTTAGTTCCAACCTCCTTGCCAGAAGTGCTTAAGTTCTTGGGTTTTCTTTGATGTTGATAGGCCCTGTTTTTGCGGATAGGTGAGAAGAAAAGTACTGTCCTGTTTCTGAGGAACAAAGTGGTGCTTATTCCCGACCCTTAGAGAACAGAGCGTCTGCCACTCTCTCAACCCACTCACAGGAGCCCACGCACACGCAAGAGCCTCCCACCAGAGTGAGGATGCACTGATCATCAAAGATGTCTTTGTGGACCTCCCACAGTCCCCATCACCAACTGCACAACAATCACAGCGATAACAATCATACTAATCTCTCACCTGTAGCCTCAGGCCCTTTTGGAGTTAGGGCACACCTGGAAATTTTTGCTTGATGACCCTGAAGCCTCCAGATTGTCCATTGGGTAGACAGTGTAGTTTGGACTGAGGGGGTATGGCCCACGTGAGCCCAGCGGATCAGATTCTTGCTATTGTTTGTCATGTTGCGAAAGGGCTGGGCTCCTAACTCCCTTTTTCATTAACACCTGCCCCTTCATCAGAAGCAACAAACCTGCCAGCCACAGTCTTTGACTTCCACAGGCCCTTCGCCAAAGCTCCCTGCAGAATATAACCCAAGGTGTGGGCTTCCTCTCAGGAGAGCCTACCACAGTCTCCCTGGAGAGCAGGAGTAGGGAGTCAGACAGCAGAACTCTGAGTGCTCCAAGGCCAATGTGTAGTTCAGGAGGGGGTGCAGAGAGATGTACTCATTCGTAGTCCCCCTAACTTGCTCTTTCTGACAGCACAGACTAGAGTCCAAAACTGAACGCCTCCTTTTCACAACTTCTCCTCCTGCAACGTCTATCTCGGCTTCCTCAGTTACCTATACGAGGAAATTGAGTTATCTTCCTCCCTCTAACCCCACCTGTGAGGAGGCAGTACCTACATGATGGTTAAGAGCAAGGCTTTCGAGTAAAACAGACCAGAAATTGAATCCTGCTCTGCTGTTTGCAGGCTGTGCACCATCAATCTAAGTTGACTAAAGTACCATAAACCTCAGTTTCCTCATCGGTTAATCAGTATAATATTTTGTTCCTTATGGCAGTATTAGAATTCATTCATTAAGATGTATATCAAGCCCTAACCGGTTTGGCTCAGTGGATAGAGCGTTGGACTGCGGACTGAAGGGTCCTGGGTTCGATTCCAGTCAAGGGCATGTACCTTGGTTGCAGGCACATTCCCAGTAAAGGGTGTGCAGGAGGCAGCTGAGTGATGTTTCTCTCTCATCAATGTTTCTAACTCTCTATCCCTCTCCCTTCCTCTCTGTAAAAAATCAATAAAATATATTTTTTTTAAAAAAAGATGTATATCAAGAGCTTTTAGTCCAGTGCCTGGCACATGTTGAGTACTCAAAATGAGCAGGAGTCCATCGGTCAGGTAGCCCTGGAACTCTTTTCTAAACTTTTCCTAAACCCATCCCTTCCACCCCTATTTCTTCCCCTGCTTGGTCTCTCCCCTCTCCTGGACACCACACACACTCCAACTCCAATAAGGCTCTACCCCTCATAGGATGTAAGACTTTCCATGATCTGGCCCTTGCCATGCCTCCAACTACACCTCCATGCCTGCCTGCTTCTCCCACAGTGCCCCCCTCACCTCCATGTCCTTGTCCATGTCGTCTCCTCCTCCCACTCCTGTCTCTATCAATTCCACTGAGCTAGCGCATAGGAAGACTCAGCCCAGAGATCCTATATAAGAGCCTCTACTTGGAAGACCTCTCTAAGGAAGTGTGCACAGCCAAGCAAATGAGGGGAAAGTCGACACAGGCAAGTGGCTCATCTGTGTCCTTCAGGCTGGCCTACAAGCCAACACTGAGTGGGAGCCAATGCATGGAAGTGCTGGGGCCTAGCTGATTCAGGTGTTTGTTTTGAGGAAGCTGACTATATTATGTGGTCCCCACCTCAAAGCATGCCACCTCTTTCCTGTTTTCTCAAGGCTGCAACTTCCCTAAGAGGAAGGGAACTTTCATGTCTCTTGGTCTTCCTCTTTCTTCATTCGATACCCGCCCACCACCACTCCCCTCTGCACACACGCTTCTAGAATAGAATAGCACATTGTAGAGGAAAGAGTTCGGGACTTGATATTGGATAACCTACTGAGTTTCTGTTTCCTCTTCTATAAAATGGGATTAGTACCTTCCTTACTTCATGAGGCTATAAGAATAGAATGAGATGGTCAGCATGCAAGTGCCTCTAACCATTAAACAGTATTTAAATGGATGACTGGGGATGGTCTCCTAGGTTCCATACCAACTCACCCTTTTCCCTAGTTCACTGAATATCTGCAAAGCTTCTTTCATTCCCCAAAAGAGCCACGTGGGCTCTGTCCCCATCCCCACTCTGCCAATCTAGAACTCCATCTCACACTTAAAATTCATCTTTACAAAGCTTTCTATCATTAGCCATGCCCCATGTTGGTTACTCTAAAATATTTTTTAAATAATTATTTAAAATATCATCGGAAGAGCACTATGACAAATTTTGGGGAAATATAAAGGTAAATAAGATAGTTCCAGTCCAGATTAAATTTACAACTCAATAGAAAAGACACACAAATGAGCATATGTTACAAAGGCATGAGCCACAGGGCCAGGAAAAGTACTGATTGTGCAATGGGCCTTTGGTTTTCAAACTGCCATTCAGTGGTCTGGTCTTTAAAATCCTATCCTAGAGTATTGATCCCCATAGGATTGCTTTTTCCATTCCATTCTGATATTCTTGTCAAGGTTTCATCTGCTCCCTAAGCCTGAGATGGAATTGTTATCCCATTACACTGGACCTTACATACACAAGAATTATCCTAGAGATGGAGAAACTACGTTTTAGGGAGAGACAGCAGCTGGCTCAAGATCATAAGTCTAAT